ATCATATTGTAACCTGTTGTAAATTAAATTACTAGTAACTGTTCAAGTACTGAAAGCTGTAAAGAATATGCTTAAGAAAAATGACAGAATTATCAATAGTAACTTCTCTTTCACCCAAAAATTCAAGTAAAAGAGAAAGGTGTAGAGTTACAACCACTTTCTTGGTAAAAGTCCATAATTTCTAGCAGCTTCAATAGAATTAGAATATTTATGGGAAAATACCTTAAAGGGAAAAAACTTCATTGAAGCAATCAAAATTGAAAATGTAAATGAGAAAATTTAGTAACCATTTGCTCAGAGAAAACATCTAGGAAAATAAAACTTCCTGACTAAACTATTCATTATAACAAATATCAAATATCATTTCAAATGGTATCATTTTGAATTTATTTACAGCCACATCAAGAACAAACATGAAAACATTGTTTTTAACATTGTTTTGGAAGTTCTAGAAAAAATAATAATACAAATAAAGTGTCATAAGCACTGAGAAATAGAGGTTATCTTTTGGGTGATACTTCTTTCTGCACATTTTAAAAAGAATCCCTTCCTCTCAAAGAAAAATACTAGAAAAAAATAACAAGTATGCCAAAAAATCATAGTTGTCTGTACTGGTAATAATAAGTTAAAATAGAACATATTTCACTCATGGTTGCAACAAAAATCACAATAATATGTTTTAAATTCTGATGAAAAAAGTAGTATTACACAGCACAAAACTCAAAGTAGACAAGAAACTTGGTAGAAGCACTTCACACATATGCCACAGCCACTGATTTACCCTCAAAATAACAAAGATTCTACACAAGCAAGTAAATGTGCTCTCTGTGTGTACACATATTCTTTTTTTGTTTATTCTAATTTGTTATATATGACAGCAGAATGCAACTCAAATCATGTTACACATATAGATCACAATTTTTCATGTCTCTGGTTGTACAAAAGTAGAGTCATAACATTTGTTTGAAAGAAGAATATGTCATATCACATATTCTTCTTCCAAACATACATAATAGCGTACTCCAGTATAGTTCCACTTGACTTATTTATTAAAAAATACACAAATTCATCCATTCCAGTAAACAAAGAGTCAATATTCTTTTTAATAGGTCCTTATCCTGATCATTCTGCATAGATGGATAGATTTCATCTATTTTAATTACATTTAGATAACAGTTTTACATATACATCATTGACTTGTAGCAGTATTACTATAGTTTTGTGCTAAAAGTAGAACTGTTGATTTAATAGTAGGAATATTTAAGTTTTAATGAGGTTGCTGCACAAAACTAATGTTTGACATATGTATACACTTACCAAAAACAAAATCATGGACATGTTAATCCACTCCAAAACTTTCTTCAGGATTCTTTGACATTTCTCCTTTCTACATGTCCAACCATTCTCTAATACTTCCTCAAACAATCATTGATCTTTTTTTCCTACTTCACAGTAGTTTGCATTTCCTAGACTTAATATAATTGAGTTTTACATAAATGGAACAGTATATATTCTTTTTGTCTGGATTCTCTCACTTAGCATAACTATTTTAAAATCTACCCATGTTGCAGTATATATCATTCTTTTTTATTGTCGAGTGGTGTTGTATTTTGTGTTTGTGTGCATGCTTGCACATGTGCCATGGTATATCCCTGTTGAATGGAATTTTAGATTGTTTTTATATTTTAACTGCTCCAAATAAAGTTGCTCTGAGGATTAATACACAATTCTTTGAAAGGATACCTAATTCCATTTTTCTATTGATTGAAGAAAAAAATCTTACATCGTATGGCTGGTGGATGCATAAATTCTTAAAAACTTGCCAGACTATTTCTAACATGGCTGTACCACTTTACCCCACCACTAGTGACTGAAGAGGGTTCTAGGCCCTTCATATCCTAGCTAGCACTTGGTACGATAAGACTTAATTTTATACTCTACTAGGTGTATAATGGTATGACACTATGTTTTTAATTGCACTTCCCCGATGACTAATGGTTTTGAATATTTTCATTTGATATCCACATACCTTTTGTTTTTAATTAGTTAATTAATTTATTTATTGGTACTGGAGATTAAATCAAGGGACTCAACAACTGAGCCAAATTTCCAGCCCTTTATTTTTTTACTTTTTATTTGCTAAGTTGCTATGGGTCTCGCTAAGTTGTTGAGACTGATCTCAAACTTGTGATCTTTCTACTTCAGCCTCCCAAGTTTCTAAGAATACAGGCATGTGCCACCACACTCAGCTCTCCAAATATCTTTTTAAGTGTAGTATTTGCTAATATTGTTTTGCTTTTTTATTGGATTGTTTGTTTCCTTATTGATTCTAGAGCTTCTTAGTGTATTCTAGATAAAAATCCTTTATAAAATATGCAATTTGTAAAAATTCTCTCTCCATGTATTGTTTCTCTTTTTTACTTTCTTAATACTGTCTAATGAGAGATAGAAGTTTTATTACTGATTAGGTGCTATTTATCAATATATTTTTATATGGATTATGCTTTTGATTTTATATATCCAAGAAACCTTTGCATAACCAAAAGTCAAAGTTTTTTCCAACATTATCTTCTAGAACTTTAGGTTTCAAACCTACATGTATGAACCATCTTATATTGCTTTTTCATGTGGCATGATGTACAAGTCAAAGTAGTTTTTTGTTTTTCACATAGATATTCAATTGTTCAGTCATAATTCGTTGAAAAGAAAATCTTTTCCCCATTGAATTCCCTTCACAATTTTGACAAATCACTTGTCCAAAAATGAATCTATTTTTTAATTCTATTATGATTGATAAACAACCATGTTTAGTTGTGATCCATTAATGGATGACTACTAATTATGGAAATAAAAAAATGACAGAAATAGCAGCAATAAGGCATTAAAATGAGAAGAAGATTATTTTCTTTGAGGTAATATGGAAGGATTCTCAAAAAAATGTAAGTATATTAGACTGAATTGTGCCTCCACTCAAATTCATATGTTGAAGCCCTGTCTCCCAATGTGACATGATTTGGAGATAAAGTCTTTAATGATGTAATTATTTTAAATGAGCTCATAGTTGTGGGAATTGTTGTCTTTATAAGAACAGGCAGACATATTAGAGATTTCTCTCTCTACATGTGCACAGAGGAAAAAGCCTTGTGAGGATATAACCATAAAGAGAAGGCAGCCATCTGTAAATCAAGAAGAGATCCTTCACCAGAAATTAACTGTTAGTTATTAGGGAAATGTAAATTAAAACCACAGTATCATATCATTATATGCCTATTTGAGTTGCTACTTAATCTTGGATTTCTAGACTCCAGAACTGTAAAAAACTAAATTTTTGTTGTATAAACTACCCAATTTGTGGTACTTTGTTATACCAGCCCAAACACACTAATACAGAGGAATTTGAGAAGCTCTTGAAGAACCAGAAGTGGAAAAATGTAAGTCTCTAGTGAATGTATTTGTGGATCCTTAGTTCCACTAATTGGACCACTGTTCTAAAGAATAAAAGGTCTCAAACAAGTTTCTTTTAATGATAAGAACTTTGTCATTTCGTAAGCCTTATATAATTAATTGAGCCCAGTCATCCTTTTAGGAATAAAAGGGTGAGAAGGTTTGATGTGTTGTTTTCAAGAAAAATTTGTAGTCTCATTAAGTAATTATTATTATTACTAGAGGAAATGTGCATAGCTTTAAGAGAGCAGGTTAGTAAAATCACCTTTATAAACAAACCAAACAATTTTTATATTGTTGCATTAAAGTAAGATGTATTGATTTTGAAGTGGTATATATATGAAACAAATAATTTTACATGGATATTGTGAAAATGGAAAAAGAAAAGTCTCTGCAAAAATGGAGGATTTAAGACTGCTGAGTACTTAATTCTAATATTTAAAAATGACAGTTCACAGGAAATTTCAAATTAAGGTAGACAATTATAAACACTATAAAAATTGATGGTGAGAAAAATGAACTTTTTGAGGAGGCTATGAAAAGAATTCTTAAACGGATAGAAGGAATTTAGCCTGGTCTCCAAAGTGGTTTTCACAAAAGTAGGCTGTGAGGAGCATAATATGCAAATGAGAGAGCATGGGCTAAGCAATGGAGAAAAAAAGTACTGAGCCTCAGTAAACTCTGGTGGCTAGAGAAATGAGGTGTTGAGATGGTCATGAGAATTAGATACAAAGCCTTTAAGATCTACAGATGAATTTTATATTAAAATATACCTTCCAAAGCATTACAAGATCATAATACATTGCTATCCCAAAATAGAAGACATAATTTCCTTAAAGCTCTACATTTCTCTTCATTATTTTTTTCCATGTATTTAAAAGTGATGTTTCTACTACCCACATGATGCTGAAAATGCTCCTACACACCAGAAATTCAGCTTTAATAAAGAAAGACAATCAAAATTCAGTGTATGATATAGTAAAACTGATTTCATGCAAACAGGAATTCAGCAGTTAAACACTTGTGCCCAGGTCCAAAAAAAAAAAAAAAGAGAATATAAAATCCAAATACAAGTCTAAGCTATTCAAGAGAAATTAGGAGAAGTGACTCTGGACAGTACTATGTCACATGGACAAATGCTTAGATGTGGGCCATGGTTAAGCATGCTTTGGTCATCATTTTGAAATTAATAATTACATATATGAATTTCAGTTTAGTAAGTGAAACCTAGTGGGGGAAAAAAGGAACATATACTAAGGGCTCTCACTCTTTGTGTTATGTACTGTCCTGTCCAGTCCCAACCTTCCTGCTCCCAGGTCCCCACATAGCCACAGTTGCCACCTTGCTTGAGCACAGTGTCCAAATCTTGGAGCAGGGATCTCCGGCATCTTTAAGGGTCTGCACTGATACCTCACTAGTCTTGCACTTGAGGGACGGTCATTTTAAATAAACAGCATGATAAGTTCAGATAGTGTGGGAGAACAATTTTTGAGCTTTTTGAATGAGGGTTCTGTATTTTCATTTTACGTTGGACCTCACACACTATGTTGTGGTACCTTAAGTCTTGTAGCAGTAAACCGTTCCAGCAGATGACTGAACAACACACTTGTTCTTCTCTAAGGTCTGTTTCCATACCTGTGAAATAAGAACATCAATTCCTATCTCATTGGGTTTCTGTGACGATTTTGATGCTAAATCATGTAAAGTGATTTGACTCATTTTAACTGTCAACATTAAAATGTTAATTAATAACTATCTAATTCATAATTAATAACTAATTATCTATTATCTAATTCAGACTTAAAAATCTCAATTATGTTTTCTTTGCCTGGAGATCAACACTTCAAAACGGACTTTCTCACAGGCTGTAGAAAATCTGTATTCTGGCTTTGCTTCAAATGTTCAATTTACTTCAATTTGCTTTTATGTAAACCTCTGAGAATGTTCATAACATATCTACGCCTCAAAAACATGGGAATGAAAAGCTGTGCGATTCTCATAAAACGTGTTTGTTCAGCGCGCATAAATCTTCACATATGCTGAAAAAAAAATCGGAGCAAAAACTCGGTCACACAACTACTTGACCTTGTCACTAAAGCTTTCACACACACACACACACACACACACACACTAGGAAACAAAAAACAAGGCACTAACGACCTTTGATTAAGAACTAGGAGGCATGAATCAAAGCAAGGTCATGAAAAACAAGCGCTTTGGGGAACCTCAGGAGTCGAACTCCCTCAGGCTACCCACCCGCTCCCCGTTTCCATAGAAACACGCAATTCCGCCGCGTCACACTGCGAGCCGGAAGTTGCTCTCCCTCAGTTCTGCTCCTCCCCCGCCCTGCATCGCGTCGCTTTTCTCCAGTCGTCAGTTCCGGGAGATGCGGAACAGCGTAGGGCGGAAGAGCCTGAGGTTGAGGGGCGTAGCAACACAGCCGCGGTGTGACCGGCGGAATTCACGTGCAGATAGCCATGGATTCTCCGTCTGGACCTACTACTATGGCGCCGCCGGGGTCTCTGAACCTCAACAACGAGGTGAGCGCCGAGGGCTGAGAACCAGTGGGGCCAATATTGGTGCTCTCAAAACCAGCTATTCTGCGTCTTTTCGACGGGCAGGTAACCGGGGTGAAGGATGCGGCCTCTTGATGGACCCACGCGGGTTTCCAGGAACTCCCCTTCCCAATTTCTAGAAGTGTCAGCACAATGCCTGATCCTTAATAAACTCTCTGTACTCATTACCTGCTTTTTATTTACGGTCGAAAATGAAGGGAAAGATTAAGAACTGTAGCTTTTCATAAAAAATTACTGATATTTAATGAGACCATGGACGGTTAGTTCATTACTTCTTCGTCATTTTTCTGTCCATTCCATTTACAGCCAAACCTTAAGGACGAGTTATTTGTACTTGGCTATCCTCCATTTCCCTTCTCTTGTTCGTTCTTTAATCTGATCCTGCATTTGTTCTCACTACCCCCTCCACCATAATGCATTAATGTCACCTGGTTATCAAGTCTGCCACTTAAAATAAGCTCGAAAAGCAAGGATCAAATGAGGACCTCACAGCTATATACAGCAAAAGTAGTCTTTATCCCCTTATTCTGTGGATATGTATCTGTTAAGGACAATTCACTGTTCAGATTGCAGAGTTGTGTAAAATATACCTTAGATTTTCTGTTAACCCGTATCAGGAAGAAATGCGTAAGAAATATCCACTTATGATACAGTATAATTAGTGTCCCCCAAAAATGAGTAGAGCAGAAAAGTTCCAAAGAAAGAAGTCATATAGTGATATCTGTGCTTGATGTTTGAGGCTCTTATAAAGGAATTGCAGGCACTGAAGGTAGAAAGCATTCCAGGCAGAGGGACTAGTACAAGCTGGGAAAGGATGGTACTAGGAAACCCTACTGGGATAGAAAAGGCTTCACTGAGGAACTTGTGGGATGAAGTAGAAGATAAAACTAAAATTATGTTTTTGCTTTATTGTCAGATTGAGTCTTGATTTCAGTAGGCAGAGTATAGAATATACTGAAGAGGGTAAATGAAACTAGTGATTTGTGATAGAAAACAGTTGGTAGGTTATTTTCTGTAGGTTACTACTGAGATGTAAAAATCCGAAATCATTAAGATGGCCTTGGGAATTCACAGGAAATACTAGTTAGCTTCATGTCAGGTTTTGACTGTGTTAGTGGTAATGACAGGGAATCCTAGGCGCAAAAGGCTATTTTTCATTTAGCTAACTTCCAGGCCTTCTGAAAATAGTTAAAATTAGATCATTAAACTTAGTTTGGATTGAGGTGTGTATTCCTTTTGCAATCAGAATGATTTCTATTCTGGAAACACCTGTTTCTTTTATATATATATATATATATATATATATATATATATATATATTCTCTACAACATGTATGTTTTATGACTGCATGCTGGATGACTAAATGAATTTATCAAATCAGGAAGTATGTGTGTCCCACACTAAAATTTTTATGTGTTCCAATATGAAGAAGATAAAAAGGACAGAAAAAAAGTGGAGATGATGTTATTTAAAATTAACGAGGAAAAATTTAAAAAAGCAAATGCAGTCATGCATTGCTTAATGATAGGAACAGTTCTATGAAATGTCATTAGGTGATTTTGTCCTTTTGTGAACAGAGTCACAAACTAAGACAGCTATAATATCATTATCAGTAAATAATATAACCACCATCATATACATAGCCCATTAAAATTTAGTTATGCCATATGACTATATAGATTTATTACATAAAAACTGGAAAACATACCAAAGAAAAGAGCAAAACTAGTTAGAAAAAAAATACACCAGATATGGCAGATAAAAAACTAATGCTATTTCTCTAAAACAGCTCATGGAAATTAAGAGAAACTGTCGTAGAAAATGGGCAATTTCTCCAGAAAGAAATTATGTTTGAATCACAGTCTCTGGGACAGGAGTCCCCTGTGATTCTCCTTTGCTAGCAAATCAATGAACCACCTTTTTCTCAGAACTTTTCCTCCTTATTGGATTGACAATGGAAACAAGAACTGAGCTTTTAGTAACAAATTTGGCACCCCAGGTCGGACCTAAGAGCATTCCCTGTTCCAGCTTTCTTGGGCAGGCCTGGCTTTCCAAGAAACCCTACTCCAATGCTAAGGATGCAAGTTGACTGGCAAACTTGTTGAGAGCCAATTGTAGAGAGTTATGAGATGGTAATTTGCTTTAGGTTCCAACCAGAAGAGCTATTCCTGTGATTAAAGGGAGGGACTGAGGCACTAACCCAGCAGCTTCTGAAACAAAAAAGAGTTTCAGGGAAATCCCACCTTCTCTCCCTGAATGGTACAGGTTGTTCCATCCTAGTTCATTTTGAGAAAATGTAAACTGAACTCAGTAAAGTTGTGACATCCTTGGCCATCTGGTAAATCCCTCACCATGCATGCAGAGACCCTTGGTTTCACACCTCTGCTTCCTCTTTGTGGGAACATCTGTGATGCCACTTCATGTTAGGGATCATGGTTAAGCAGGAATCAAGAACCTAGGTATATTTTCTCCCTTCTGATGTCTCCTAGGTTCTTGGCCTTGGGTTTGGGAATTCCCTTTGGTTGTCTGTGTTTTGGTGGTGTTTTTTTTTTTTTTTTTGTATGTTACTGGCCCTTTTAAGACATGCCCAGTACTTCATTGATTCTATAGGTAGCCTCTTGGTAAAGATCTTGGCTGGTCAATTTAAAATTTTGAAGAGCCTGTCTAGTTGTCTGTCTCTCTGTTTTTGTTTTTGTTTTTTGTTTTTTTGTTTTTTGTATCTGCTGCTGGCCCTTTAAGACATGGGCCATGCTGGGTTGATCTTACCAGTAGTCTAGAGAGAGAAGAGATCTTGGCTGAATGGGCCACTTATAGGTATAAGCCTACCTAAGAGAAAGATGTTTTACTGTAATACAATCTAAATTTTGAATGTTTTTTCTGGATTATTATATAATTTTGCAGTTGAAGCTGGTCTGTCAGGGGTAAAGTATATGGAAGAGATTCTGTATGTACAGTCATTTATGCAGTTGCATGATAAGGGGTCTGAACAATCAGGAACTGAGTTGAAGATGCCAGACGGTGTGTGTGTGAGGATAGCAGGATACCAGAAGAAAAGGTTAAAGCAACACTGCCAGCACTGTTTTTTTCAGCTGGCCCCAGGCAGATCTTCGACTGCAGATCATCTAATTGTTTGTTCAAGGACACTAACCCTAAGATGGGGTGAAAAAATATCCCCAAAAAACTATTTGAGCTGTAGAAAAATGGGCAAAGAGAACTTGGCCTCTGCCCTACTATTCATCCCCTTTTGCCCACAGAGGATGGAGGCTGTTGGTCACAAAGGATGTGGCATTAGGTTCCAGTACTGTTAATTTATGACTTGGGGACAGGAATAGTCTCCTTTTTTAAGATCTGACAGGACACCCCATTTGGACAGGGGATATCCATCAATGGGGCAAAGCAATTCTTGCTATAACAGTAGCCCATCAAAGCAAAAAACAAAAAGAAGAAGAAACAAAATATACTTGGAAAAAAAGCTCAAATTCACTAATTCTAATCTTTTCATTTTTTTTTCCATCACAACTGCTGTCCTTATCCAGATTATCTCTACAACCAGAATTACTGTACTATTTCCACAGCTAGTTAACTTGACTCTTGTCAGACTTCAGTCTGATCTCGTACTGCAGTTTGAGTACTGTCTTTAGAACACATCACATCCACTCTCTTGCTTAAAACTCACTAGGTTGCTTTTAATAAAGGCAATCTATTCACTTTCTCTTATATAACTCTTCCTTGAAGTATCTGTACTTTAACTGCACAGACTTTTCTGTGCTACCTCTTATACCCCTCTACAGGTTCTCTGCACATGCTGATCGTCTTATCTGAAACTGCTTTTCTTCTCATTAGTTTTATTTCATTTATTTCTTTTGCAGGGAAATTGTTCTTGGTTTTCATTTACCCCTTTTATAATTTCTCATACCACCATTTCTTTGCAGTGTGTGCAATACTTTGTGTGTGTGTGTGTCTTTATTAAAGATTTTTATCACCTGGCTTTAAATTCTTAGTCATCATCATATCCCCAGTGCCTATTTTGTTGAATTAGTCTTAATATCTCTTGGGAATTTGATGATGTATTTCCAAGGGTCTATAACTACCTGAAACTATATGTAAATTTGTTGTTTCTATGGGAAAATGAATCCAAAGGTTTTATCAAATGTTGAAAGGCTTATAAATCTCTTATCTTGGATATACTAGTAATCATAGCTGTGATTTGTTTTTTAGGAATCCTTGTTTCATAATTTTTAATCTATTTTTTTCTTTTAAAAGTTATGTGACAGACTAATTTTATAATACATTAAATTTCCCAAGTGTCTTTTATGTAAATTAAAGCCTACTGCAAAGGCACTAATTATACTTTAACTTCTAGTGCCAACTACTCTTAATAATTCTATTGTTATAAAAAGTTTCAAGGACAAAATTGAATTTATAATTCACTCCAGATTCTTAAAATACATTTATTCTGGAAAAGTAAAAATTTGCTTTTATCTTTTTATGTCACTTTGTAGCATCACTTTGTACTGTATAATATGATTATTTATGGAATGTTTTATCTTCCTCAGTACTTTATATGGATTTCAAAAAGAGAATATTTGGGGATGTGGTTGTAGCTCAGTGGTAAAGCATTTGCCTAGCATGTGTGAAGCACTGGGTTCGATTTTCAGCACCACATATAAAGGTCCATGGACAACTGAAAAAAT